TGTCTGTCTGTCTGTCTGTCTATCTATCTATCTGTCCATCTATCTGTCTGTCCATCTATCTATCTATCCATCTATCTATCTATCTATCTATCTATCTATCTATCTATCTATCTATCTATCTATCTATCTATCTATCTATCTATCTATCTATCTATCTATCTATCTATCTATCTATCTATCTATCTATCTATCTATCTATCTATCTATCTATCTATCTATCTATCTATCTATCTATCTATCTATCTATCTATCTATCTATCTATCTATCTATCTATCTATCTATCTATCTATCTATCTATCTATCTATCTATCTATCTATCTATCTATCTATCTATCTATCTATCTGTCTGTCTGTCTGTCTGTCTGTCTGTCTATCCATCTATCTATCCATCCATCATCCATCCATTTGGTTACAGTGTACTATAGATTCTCGACCCTACTTTTGATCTATTAATCCAAAATTTGCAAATAATTATATAGTAAAATCCATATTTATAACTACAGGTACCCTGATTCTGTCTGTATTTTGACCTTTACTTCTTTTGAGGTTTTTTTTTGTAACATTTTTGTAAGATTTCGGTCGGTCTCTGACCTCATTGTAGGTCGATGACCTTGAATGTCTCTGACTGAGAGCGCCGTGTCCCTCTTTGACCCCCGACAGACACAAAGGTCTGCTGTATTTGTCCTCCTCCTCCTCCTCTGGCTCATTGTTTCCCATCTTCAGAGTGTTTTCCCCTCTTTCTTGCTGCCGCTCTTCAGTGTGAGTGAATGAGTTTCTGTCTGTCTATTTCTATCTTTGTTATTGTCACATATGATCGTGTCAGTCAAGCATGACTGTCACTTCCAGCTCCTCCAATCTCAGGTTTTCCTTTAGTCTAAATCTCTGTGTATTTAGATGCAAAAAATACCATGGAAATACCATTTATTCTTGAACCTGTACTTTAGTAAAAGACAATATGACTTTCAGTATGAACTTTGTCTCGGATGTTTCTCCTAAAATTCCTCAGGAGAGATAAAAACAGCCCCAAATGAGTCACTAATTGTCATCCAGTAGAAGTCTAGAGCTGTAAAATGAATATCTAGAGCAGCTCACATCATCTCAGACTTTGGCATCTTGAGCAACTCTGAGCACAGTGTGAAACATTGTTGAGGCATCTTCAGAAACTCTACCATACAAAAAATAAGTTTATTAAAGTGTGTTATTTGTATACTTTAAAAATAAATAAGAGTATGAGAGTATCTGAGATGTACTTACGTATACTTGGCTTATACTGAGAAGTATACAGAAAAGCCTTAGTATAGGTCAAATATACTCAGACTTTTCTGTGTTCTTGTCAGTAAGCCAAGTATATACGTATATCTCTGATAAGTACATAAAATTAGAGAGTATGCTTTCAGTCTACCTTTTAAGTTCTTAATTGTTTGATCGAGATATACTTTTATTAAGTATTCTAAGTATACTTGGCTTATACTGACAACTATACAGTATCTATACTGAGTACTGTATATTTGGTCTATACTTGTACTTGTACTTAGTGATAATCTCCATCAAAAGATTAAGTATTCTAAGTATACTTGGTTTATACTGACAATTATAAAGAAAAGTCTAAGTGTATTTGCAGTAAATATTTTGATCGAGGTATACTTCAAAAAAGTATTAAGTATTTTAAGTGTACTTGGCCTATATTGATGAATATACAGAAAAGTACTTTAAGTACACTTCATTAATACTGACAAGTATAAAGAAAAGTCAGAGTATATTTGGCCTCTACTTCTACTTTTAAATCTTTTGATCGAGATATACTTTTATTAAGTATTCTAAGTACAGTATACTTGGCTTACACTGGCAAGTACAAAGGAAAGTCAGAGTATATTTGACCTGTACTTGCACAGTATATTTTGATCAAGATATACTTCAGAAAAGTATTTTTAAGTATTTTAAGTGTACTTGTCCTATTTTGATAAATATACATAAAAGTACTCTAAGTATTCTTGGCATATACTGACAAGTAAACAGAAAAGTCGAAGTGTACTTGACCTATACTTATACTAAATCTTTTGATCGAGATATACTTTGCTTATATTGACAAGTATACAAAAGTATATTTGGCCTATACTTGTACTTAATACTAAAGATATACAACTATTATATGGTATTTTAGTATACTTGGCATATACTGACAAGTAAACAGAAAAGTCGAAGTGTACTTGACCTATACTTAAACTAAATCTTTTGATCGAGATATACTTTTATTAAGTATTCTAAGTACAGTATACTTGGCTTATACTAACAAGTATAAAACAAAGTCTGAGTATATTTGACCTATACTTATACTAAATCATTTGATCTAGATATACAAAGTATACTAAGTATTCTAAGTACAGTATACTTGGCTTATACTAACAAGTATAAAACAAAGTCTGAGTATATTTGACCTATACTTATACTAAATCATTTGATCTAGATATACAAAGTATACTAAGTATTCTAAGTACAGTATACTTGGCTTATACTGTCACCTATAAAGAAAAGTCTGAGTATATTTGGCCTCTACTTGCACAGAATATTTTGATCGGGATATACTTTGATTAATTATTGTAAGTATACTTGTCCTATTTTGATGAATATACAGAAAAGTACTCTAAGTATACTTGGCTTATACTGACACGTATAAAGAAAAGTCTGAGTATATTTGACCTATACTTATACTAAATCATTTGATCTAGATATACAAAGTATACTAAGTATTCTAAGTACAGTATACTTGGCTTATACTGTCACCTATAAAGAAAAGTCTGAGTATATTTGGCCTCTACTTGCACAGAATATTTTGATCGGGATATACTTTGATTAATTATTGTAAGTATACTTGTCCTATTTTGATGAATATACAGAAAAGTACTCTAAGTATACTTGGCTTATACTGACAAGTATAAAGAAAAGTCTGAGTATATTTGACCTGTACTTGCACAGTATATTTTGATCAAGATATACTTCAGAAAAGTATTTTTAAGTATTTTAAGTGTACTTGGCCTATTTTGATGAATATACAGAAAAGTACTCTAAGTATACTTGGCTTATACTGACACGTATAAAGAAAAGTCTGAGTATATTTGACCTATACTTATACTAAATCTTTTGATCTAGATATACGAAGTATACTAAGTATTCTACGTACAGTATACTTTGCTTATACTGACAAGTATAAAGAAAAGTCTGAGTATATTTGACCTCTACTTATACTAAATCTTTCTCTTAAGATATACTTCTGAAAAATAGTAAGAAAGAATACTTGGCCAGTACAGACAAGTATACAGAAAAGTTTAAGTATTTGGTTTACTTGTACTCTTTTGATTAAGAAAAGTATAATATGAAAGTATATTTGGCTTGTAATTGTGTTTACTCTTTTAATAGAGTTGCCTATTAAATACTTTTCCCAAATATAGGCTTCTTTGAGGTAGTTCTCCAGTATATGTTTTTCATACTATCTTATGAACTTACATGTTCAAGTTTATAGTAACACATTTGCTTTATTCAGTACACTTGTATTTTAGAAATTATTACTGTACTGCTTTGCTTTTTTGTACGTGTGTCATTTATAAACTCGCTCTGAAGTCATGTGATCAAGTAACCTTCAGATGAACTCTAGTTTGCACTTCCATTGTGTCATGAGTGACTAAATCTCGGCAGCCTTGTTTTGCTCATTGATTTTCTCTCTGTGTCAGGCAGACACAACTCAGACGTTTAGGCTATTTTGGGCGAACTTAACCATATTTGCAGAAATCTGTGAGAAATATAACGACCCAAAGACCACCTGGTGATACACAGCCCTAGTGTACTGTGTATATTTATTATGTATATATAAATTCACACACATACAGTATATATTTTGAAAATATTTACATGTATTTTCATGTATATATTTATATTATATATAAATATATTTAAACATAACATATTTTTCTGAAATATATACATGCATGTGTGTGCATTTATATAGACATAATAAATGTACACAGCGCACACACATATATTATTTTTTAATTTTTTTTTATTTAGTCATTTAGCAGAAGCTTTTATCCAAAGCGACAACAGAAGCGATCAATTGTAGCATTAAAACAACTAAAAGCAGATCCAAAACTAAAAGCTAAAACTTTATAAATACTACCTATACACATTTTAAAAATAAAGAAATTAAATAAAAATGACAAATGCATACAACAAAATTTCAAAACTTAAAATTTTAATGAAAAACAAAAAATAAAGCTAAAAACTATTGAAAATATTAAAGAACAAAAGGTATGAGTATAATAATGATTCTAACATAACACTAACATAACACCAAAAAAACAACTTCATATATGTGTGTGCACAACCACACACACACACACACACACACACACACACACACACATACTGTATATGTACATACACATTTATAAATTCAATATATATATATTATTTCATTTCCATTTAGTTTGTTGAAGTATTAACATAACTCAAATGAAATAAAACTAAAACTTAACAAAAGACCTATACAGACAGAATAAATTCAGACATAATTTAACTAAAATTAAAATAAATAACAAATACAAATAATACAAATCAAACGACAGTAGTTTATCAGTAATCCTAAAAAATAACACTGCCAAACTATTACTACTACTTAAATGCTAAAATAAAACTTACACATAGTAAGAAATGGTTATAAAAACTGAAACAGAAGTGAAACAAGTTGTAGGAAATTGTGTTAAAATATTATGTAAGCAAAAAACTTTTATTTTGGATGACAGCACTAATAATATTTCAAATATATATATTTTAAAAGCACATAACCAAAATACTAAAAATAAAATAAAATAAAAGCTAATTAAAAAATAATCACTATTGCCAATGTCTAACCATGTGCAACAGTTACAGTACATTTGCATACAGTGAAGTTTGTTTAATATCTCCATGTGGTTCCTCTCGTCTGCTTTCAGGCTGATGTGTGATTGGTGCTCTGCCGCTGTCCGCCAGCATGGTAGACATGGAGAAGCACTACAGCCCCCCGTCTCCGCTGGACCACTCCGTGCTGGACAGTCCTCTGTGCCGGGACTTCATCGGGGGAATGGAAGAGCTTCAGGACATCTCTCAGTCCATGGAGGAGGACGCTCTCAGCAGCTTGGAGGTGACCGAGAACCAGTCGTCGGGTCTGGGCTCCGGATCGGAGAGCTCCACTGCGTTAGGTACACAAACGCTGCCACTCAAATACATGCAGACTTTTTCAGAAAAGCACACCATGCTCCAGTAGAAAGCCAAAAACATACTCAACACAAGTAAGCAAATGCAGATATGAATGCTTTGTTGACATATTGTACGCATTGTAATTTTGTTACATTTATGCTTATGGAAAAAAAAAAAGAAAGTAAACAATTTGCCAATAGGATAAAAACAGAAAATGCATGCAAGAAATATCCAAAAGAGAGTGTTACTTTTCTTCAATATTCAGAACTAATGTTTACGTTTTTATTTTTTTTTAAATAATGATTAGACTACATCAATCAAAATGTAATATGTACAATATTGGTAATAATAATAATAATAATAATAATAGCTGCTATTATTATTTATTTATTATAACAAAATAAAAAACATGAATAATAATAACAAATAATAATATATTTTTTGTATAATAAATAACAGCAATAATAAAATAATAATAAGAACAATTAATAATTAAAGCAATAATATTATTAAAATAATTAATAATAAATATTATTATTATTATTATTATTATTACAATTAAAATGATGGCAACATTAATAATAATAACAAATAATAATATATTTTTTTTGTATAATAAATAACAGCAATAATAAAAATAATAATAAGAACAATTAATAATAAAAGCAATAATATTATTAAAATAATTAATAATAAATATTAGTATTATTATTATTATTATTACAATTAAAATGATGGCAAAGTGGGATGTTTTCATATATAACCAGAATATTTATTTATGTATAACTGATGTTTTAGAGTTGTTTTATTTATTTATTTTATAATCATTATTACATCAATCAAAACTTAATATGTACAATATTAAATATTATTATAATATGTGTTATTTATTTATACTTCTTCTTCTTATTATTATTATTATTATTAATAATAGTAGTAGTAGTAGTAGCATTATTAAAAATCAATATTGGCAAAGTGGGATGTTTTCATATTTTATCAAAAATATTAATCTGATAACTAATATCAGTATAATATTTTATTGTTGATTTATTTGTCTCAAATGCATCGTCTTTTATGGACGCTTACTCTTTTTTTTTCTTTCTTTCTTTGGAAAACAGCAAAAATAATGATTAAAAATAATTTTAAAGTAGTATAATAAAAATATGTTAATATTATAAAATATTTAAAAAATTGCATTCATGTAATTGCATAGAAAATGTTGTGGGCATTTACATTTTATGCAGCATAATTATTTCATATTTATTTACTGTCAGGCAGGAAATGTAAGTTTTTCTTCATTGCATTCAGCGCATATTCACAAGATTGATCAGACTTGATGTATGTGCAGATTCTCAAGTGTTTTAGTGGTTTTCGGTTGCTCATCAGTGGCTTGTGGTTCTGGAATGCTGACCTAGTTTTTATTTCTAGAAGCTCAGTGGAATCAATTCTGTCAACAAACTTTATATTCCCAAATGTGATTAATTTCAGAATCTCAACCTGCTGTTTGACCTTGTAACAGTCACACAAAGCACAAAAAAGTGCTGAATTGTAAGAAATCAGGCCATCAAAGACAGAAAAGGATTGTTGAGGTTAAAACGCTTGAGAAATGAGGAAGTGACATCATGGAACGGTTTCTGAGGCAGCAGAGAGGCAGAGCAGTGGATTGGAATTGAGGTAAACAGGTTTCTAAAGTAGCTTAGGCTTAAAAATGGGCAGAAAAGTGAAGACTTTTAAATATTTGAGTAATTATTAGAAGACTTCAAAGTAACGTCACACTAAAGACTCTCTGGTATTACACTGCAAAACTTATCATATTTAATATAATATTTTGAAATATATACATATGTATGCATGCATGTAAATGATTATGTATGTATGTGTAGATAGATAGATAGATAGATAGATAGATAGATAGATAGATAGATAGATAGATAGATAGATAGATGGATGGATGGATGGATGGATGGATGGATGAATCGATGGATAGATAGATAGATGGATGGAAGAATGGATGAATAGATAGATGGATGGATGGATGGATGAATAGATAGATAGATAGATAGATAGTCCAGATTTTCAAATAGTTGTATCTCAGCCAAATATTGTCCGATCCTAACAAACCATACATCAATGAAAGCTTAGTTATTCAGATGATGTATAAATCTCAATTTCAGTTTTGTGGTCCAGGGTCACAATGGTGTTCTAGATCATTTTAAAGTATGAATTTATTTTTTTTGAAGGACACTGACTTTCTTTCTGCATTCTAGCTCATTTTCATGTGTTTTGTTTGCCCTCTTGTGTAGATGCACTGACTCCCGCGTCCAGCCCGTCGTCAGGTGTGTACGGTGGCCCGGCGGGACAGGACGAGTTCACCTGCACCTCTCTGACCCTGGGGTGCCGCGTGTGTTCGGACCGCGCGTCAGGATACCACTACGGAGTTCACGCGTGTGAGGGCTGCAAGGTGAGAGCCGGCCTTTTGCTGCTGTCTCTTTAAGGCCTGTAGATAACGTCTGTACACTGCCATAATTCACGAAGACACTGCGTGCTGAATGAGTATGTGTATATGTATGAAGTATAGAGGCTGAAGATTGTCTGTATATCATCTCTCACACACTGCTGGCCTGGTAAAGCCCCAGGACACACACATTAGCCTCGGTGGCCTCGTTTGAGGTCACAGAGGATGTTTTGCCCTCATATCTGTGTCTAGAGGAGCATCTGTTGACTTCACACATTAGTCATAATATTGCCGTCAGAAGAGCAACAAAAAAGCCTGGCTGTGTTCTTACCACAGTGTGTCTTTATGAACGTAAAGGCCAGACAGACCATTATATTGTTTGGGCAAATTAATGCATTTTGAAGTGTTTTAATGTGGTTTTTAAGAGTTGATTTAGTCATTTAGTAAAGAATCGTTAGACTACATCAGTTAAACAATAATATTTATTGATTTGTTTGTATATTTATTTATTTTAAATCATTATATTTATGTTACCAGAATATTTACCTGACAATTAATAAGCTGATCCAATATTTTAGTGTTTTTTTAAAAATAATTTTAAGACTACATCAATAATAATAATAAGTTTAATTTTTAGTAATCATTAGACTATATTAATCAAACTTAATATGTGCAAAAGAAAATTAAAATAATTCATAATTCAAATAATTATTATTATTATTAAAAATCTGTTCTAGCAAAGTTAGAAAGATATTTTAATACATTGCCAGAATATTTACCTGATAATATGCAGAACTGATGTTTTAGTGTTGATTTATTTGTTTTGTGTTAAATATTCATTAGACTACATGAATCAAAATTGAATATGTACAATAACAATAAAAAATTATATAATAATTATTATTATTGTCATTATTTATTTATTTATTTATTATAACAAGAATTATAACAATTATTATTGTTATTATTATTTATTTTAACAACAATAATAACTTTATTATTTGTTATTTTTATTGTTATTATTTTTGTTGTTGTTATTTTATTATTATTATTGTTGTTGTTGTTGTTGATATTTTTATTATTATTATTATTGTTGTTGTTGTTGATATTTTTATTATTATTGTTGTTGATATTTTTATTATTGTTGTTGTTGTTGATATTTTTATTATTATTGTTGTTGTTGTTGTTGTTAGAAATCAATGATGGCAAAGTGGAATCTTATCATATATTATTATTATTATTTATTTTAACAACAATAATAACTTTATTATTTGTTATTTTTATTGTTATTATTTTTGTTGTTGTTATTTTATTATTATTATTGTTGTTGTTGTTGTTGATATTTTTATTATTATTATTATTGTTGTTGTTGTTGATATTTTTATTATTATTGTTGTTGTTGTTGTTGTTAGAAATCAATGATGGCAAAGTGGAATCTTATCATATATTATCAGAATATTTTCAGGTATACCTGATATTAAGAAGCTGATTCCCAAAGTGTAAATATCGTTCATGAATATTGATCAAACAATGATTGCATTACATCTCTCATAATATTTCTGTAAAATTGTTATCTTTACGGTTGTGTGTATGTTTTCTCACTTCACTTGCAAATTCATTTGCCTCTCAATTGCTCACAAAGAATCATAGGATGCTATTCATTCATTGGTAGGCCTTGACCCTGATGTTCAAACACGGGCGACAGGTGCATCTTCGGCTGTGAAGTATGTGACTGCTTGAGCCGAGTCTCAGGCCACGGCTGCAGAGTTAAATAAAGCCTGTGTGATATAATGATGATGCAGTGTTTATCATTCATACTGGCTTATACTTATTTACACTCATTTCTAATACTAATTCTAATATGACCACACCAGCTGGAGTAAGAACGCTATGCCAGTCAAGGGGGTACAATAAAAGTATACATAATAATATGTATTCACATTTGCATATTAAATAGAATTGGGAGAAAAAAAATGATTCTCTGATTCATTACGATTCTTATTATATATTTCTCTGTTCTTCTTTATTAGTGACTATTTGCTTGTACTATATGCTTTGAAGATATTTATAATCTGTAATTATTTTTAAAAAGTACTTGTATGTAATTTAAATATTTAATTAAATATTTAAATATTTCCATGTTTTGAAGCTTTGTTTAGAAAATTATATTAAATTATAAAACAATTACGGCAATTATTTTTAATTCGTAATTACTTTAAAAAGTACTTATATCTGAAAGTCTCTAGTACTTAATTATATGGCATATTTCTTTATTCTTCTTTATTATTGACTATTTCCTTATAGCTTCTGTTTTGAAGCTATATTTATAAAATTAGTTAAATGAAAACAATTATTATTAATTTGCTAAATTTAAAATTGCTTATAAATTAAGTAATTCAATAGTAAAGGTATATATTAAATATTCAATTAAATATATTTAGAAAATGACTTAATTACAAATTAATAATAAGTATTGTAGTTGTTTTGTTTAAAAGGTACTTGTAATTAAATAAGTAATTAAATAAAATGGTATAAATTAAATATTTAGCCTATTTTTTGAAGCTATATTTATATTTACAGTAATTAATATTAATTTGTAATTATTTTAAACATTTATTTTAATTAAATACGTACTGGAAACGTATAGATACTTGAACTCTTAGACATAAGGCACTCTTTATTTATTTATATTACAAGTTTATTTCTTGTAATATGTTTATTCTTCATTATTATTGATTATTTGCTTGTCGTCTCTTTTGATGCTATATTTAGAGAATTACTTGAATGAAAACAATTATTGTTAATTTGTAATTAATTGTTATGTTTTGTAATTATTTAAAAAGTACTGAAGTAATGAAATAATAAAATAAAAATAGTATAAATTAACAATTTCAAAAATTAGACTATGTTTTGAACTTTTTTTTATATTACAGTTACAGTAATTATTATAAAGTACTTTATCATTTTAAAAATTAAATATTAAATTAAATTTAGCTTATGTTTTGAAGCTATATTTAGAAAATTACTAAATTTAAACAATTACAGTAAATATTATTAATTTGTAATATTTTTAAAAATTACTTATAATTAAATAAAAAATGGTATATATTAGATACTTCAAGTAGTTAAACTAATTCTTTAATTTAAATCAATAATCGTTTTGGAATCAGATCGTGACGCCCAGAATCAGATTCCCGCCCCTAATATCAATATAGAATTCAATTGATGTGCTTTACAACAAACATAGCTTTTGAATCAGACTTTCGAGCCGTAACTATCCATTTCATAATAACTCAATTCTCTGCGTCTCTATCTGTTCAATCATGTTTGATGCCCGTGATTTGGACGGTCACTCCGCATGTGTCTGTCCTCGACTCGACCTCTCCTCCTCTTCCTCCGGTCCCTGGTGCCTCTCCATCTCCCTGTGTATCTCCCCATCTAATCTCCCTTTCGAAACTGAAGTGTTTCTAGGGACAACATGACTCAATATGAGTGAAGCAACAGCGATTCGTTTTTACAACCCCGTCCCTTCTTACCAGCCTGCTCTTTGAGTCTCTGCTCTGCTGGCAAACCGCTGGTCATTTTCAGCACTTCGCCAAATTGTGCAAGCCGCTTGATTTCATGCTTTGGATGCATTTCTCGACCTCTCCTCCTCTTCCTCCGGTCCCTGGTGCCTCTCCATCTCCCTGTGTATCTCCCCATCTAATCTCCCTTTCGAAACTGAAGTGTTTCTAGGGACAACATGACTCAATATGAGTGAAGCAACAGCGATTCGTTTTTACAACCCCGTCCCTTCTTGCCAGCCTGCTCTTTGAGTCTCTGCTGGCAAACCGCTGGTCATTTTCAGCACTTCGCCAAATTGTGCAAGCCGCTTGATTTCATGCTTTGGATGCATTTATGACCTTAGGAACTGGCCTGTTTATTCTTTCCAGGGAATAACGCTCTGCTATCAAGCTGGAGCTTATGGCTTCAAATGGCTTGGGTTTCAGCAGTGGTTCATTATCAAATAAGTTTGAATATAAATGATTTGTTGGTAAGATATACTGTATATGTGACCCTGGACCATAAAACCAGTCATAAGGGTCAATTTCTCGAAATTGAGATTTATGCATCATCTGAAAGCTGAATAAATACGCTTTCCATTGATGTAAGGTTTGTTAGGATCGGACAATATTTGGCCGAAAATCTGGAATCTGAGCATGCAAAAAAAATCTAAATATTGAGAAAATCATCTTTAAAGTTGTCCAAATGAAGTTCTTAGCAATGCATATTACTAATCAAACATTAAGTTCTGATATATTTACAGTAGGACATTTACAAAATATCTTCATGGAACATGATCTTTACTTAATATCCTAATGATTTTTGGCATAAAAGAAAAATTTATAATTGTGACCCATACAATGTATTGTTGGCTATTGCTACAAATATCCCCCAGCGACTTAACACTGCTTTTGTGCTCCAGGGTCACATATATGAGCAATATCACACAAGTTGCAATGCGATATGGCTGTATATCAGCACGGCTGTGATTCCGCTGTAGGTAATCACCTATGGCTTTAATCATATTTGATAATAGATAATCAAATAATATATTAATGAGACCAAGGACCGCCCGTTAGATTTACCCAAAACTAATTATATCTCATGTTTAACCGCTATGGAGACATCAGAGCCAGTGGCAAATTCTAGACGATCTCGACTAAAAATCTCTTAAAATTTCATTCCATGACACAAAAACATTATTATTTATAAAATTACAGTGGATTTGAGCGTCCGCCATGACACTTGCTGTGAGAAATACTGCAAGCAGAGTGCTACAAACGGTGAAACGGTTGGAGTGCTGTTATCACTAGAATATTGCACCGCTGGAAAAGGCTCTCGGCCAATCAGATTCGAGGACCAGAAAGAACTGTTGTATACATATATATATATATAGAGAGAGAGAGAGAGAGAGAGAGAAATAAAATTTCATTCCATGACACAAAAACATTATTATTTATAAAATTACAGTGGATTTGAGCGTCCGCCATGACACTTGCTGTGAGAAATACTGCAAGCAGAGTGCTACAAACGGTGAAACGGTTGGAGTGCTGTTATCACTAGAATATCGCTTTGTTTTCTAGTTTTGCAACAGTTACCATTGATTGCATCTCAAAATTATTGATGACAATGAACTCAACCACTTGTATTCTTGACCCTGTCCCAACCGCTGTTCTTAAGGGGTGTCTGTTTTTATTTTCTATTAGCTTAGGACATTCAAGGTTAAAATTAGGCAACTTGAGCGGCAATACAAAAAAAATCAGGGTTAACTGTCCATAAGCTCAAGTATGACGAACACTTAATTCAGTGCAGTGAAGCCCTTAAGGTGGCAAGAGCTCAATACGGTTCACACATTATAAGTGATGGTGCTGCAAATCCAAAAAATATTTTTAAGACTTAAAAATCTAAAACCAAGTAAGTCACCCACATGTTCTTCTGTTCAGCAGTGTAACACGTTTCTTAATTTTTTTGTGGATACAATTGAAGTCTATTGGTTCTTCCCCTGAGTTTGTGCTCCCTGAGGTTCTTCCGCCCAGTATTCCTGTGACTTTGTTTTCTAGTTTTGCAACAGTTACCATTGATTGCATCTCAAAACTATTGATGACAATGAACTCAACCACTTGTATTCTTGACCCTGTCCCAACCGCTGTTCTTAAGGGGTGTCTGTTGACAACCAGTCCCCTCATAATGAATATTGTGAGCGCCTCTCTTATTACTGGGATTGTTCCGTGTGAACTTAAGACTGCAGCTATCACACCAATCCTTAAAAAGCCTGGGTGTGATACGTTTGATCTAACAAACGTATTTCTTTTTTAGCTAAAGTCCTGGAACGTGTTATTGTGGCACAACTACATTCTCATTTGTCACTCAACAAGCTTTTAGAACCTTTCCAATCTGGGTTTAGATCAGGATGTAGTTTTGAGACCGCCTTGGTTCGAGTCATGAATGACCTCCTCGTCTCAGCTGACTCTGGTGCCTCAACCCTTTTGGTTTTGTTAGATCTGAGCGCAGCATTTGACACAGTGTGTCACTCTATATTGCTTGATAGACTTAAGAGTTAGCTCAGTATTTTTGGTACTGTGCTTAAATGGTTCAGATCCTACCTTACAAATAGATTCCAGTTTGTTGTTCTGGGAAACAACAAATCTGACATTAGCCAGGTCCAATATGGTGTTCCTCAGGGGTCTGTTTTGGGTCCTATACTTTTTTAATATGCTTCCTTTGGAGCAAATCATTAGGAAGCACGGTCTTGGGTATCATTTCTATACTGACGATTTGCATCAGCTCAAAGTCTGATGTTACAGTCAGTTCCACAATCCTTTCTGAATGTTTGCAGGACATAAAATTGTAGATGCATCACAGCTTTTTAAAACTGAATAGCTCTAAGACTGAGGCTCTTCTTATTGGCACACCAGCAGCCATCCACAAATGTAGGAACTTTAATTTGACTATGGACAACAGCTCTGTACACTGGGTTGTTTCAACCCAACTTTGGGTCAAATATGGAGTAACCCAACTTTTGGGTTAAAATTTTAATTTAAAAAAATTAACCCAACGGTTGGGTTAGTCCATATTTGACCCAAAGTTGGGATAATTTAATCGCACACATCTCTCAGTTTATGAGAATGGATCAATCCAAAAGTCGTTTCATAAATCACTGCCTACTGTACAATAACAGTTGAGCTTCATGATAATGTGCACATATTTTAAATATGGACACTTTTATTACTGAAATGCTGGAAACTGTTTACAAGAATAATATTTCGTCACAGCTTGTGGAAAAAAGAACAAAATCACGTGAAGTGGGACATTATCATTTTGCAATTTTTATGCAATTTTTTATTTTTTTTATTGTATTAATAATATTTATTATATAGAATTTTATATTAGGGTTTGCACAACTAATCAGTGTTATTGCAGTTACAGTGTTATTTTAGTATCATTGCGATACTATTATCATTTTATTAGTATTTGTAATTAATTTTATTTTTATATTTTCTGTTTTCACTTTAATTTGAGTAATTTTGTGTGCTTTTGTCATGTCTGTTAGTTGTTTTGTCTATATTTTTATTAAATGTATTTCATCTTTAGTTATTTAAGTACTTAAAGTGAAACTAATTGAAAATAAGAAATATAAACTGCTTTGACAAATAGCTGAAATAAGTTTAATTTTTTGTACATTTTATTTTATTTCAGTTAACACTTATTTAGTAGTGAAAATGTTTTTTATGGTTGTAGTTTTAGTTAATGACAGTAACCCTGACTAGTTGACCAAGTAGTTGAGTCATAAGTTTAGTTTATGTAAATAATAGTTTGCGCTAACTTATTCATGTAATTTCCACATTTTTAAAATGACATTTTGAGAGATAAAATGCAAAACGGAAAACCATTTAAACTATAAATACGATATTTAAATAGGTTGGGTTAGTCCATATTTGACCCAAAGTTGGGTTGAAACAACCCAGAATTTTTAATAGTGTACTGCCGTCTTTACAAGCTCTTGATGTTTGATGTTCACTTGACACTGGAGGCTCACATCGGCGTTTCATCATCTCAGAAATATTGCTAGGATTAGGCCTTTCCTTTCCTTTCTACACCTGATGCGGAAAGGCTCATCCACACAGTTATCACTTCAAGAACTGATTACTGCAATCCACTTTACATCGGCCTACCGGCAAATTCTATTAAACGTTTGCAATACATTCAAAATTCAGCAGCACGTGTTCTTACTCACACATCCTCACGTCAGCACATCAGTGGTGTCCTTTGTAATTTGCACTGGCTTCCAATCCAATCACGTATCGAGTTTAAAACACATATTTTAACTTATAAAGCTGTACATGGAATGGCCCCTTCTTATGTTTGTGATTTAGTGAGAATGCCTTCTCGTCCTCTCCGCTCTGCTGATTGTTGTCTTATATTGTATTATATACTGTATTATTTGTATTTTACTTGTCTTTTTACTATGCTGTAGCCCAATGGGTGTGAGAAAAGCACATTATAAATAAAATGTATTAGTATTATTATTATTACAATTGATTATAACATTATAAATGTCTTTACTGTCAATTTTGAATGCATTCTCGCTGAATTCAAAATATTGATTTAATTTAATTTAAATATTACCCCAAACTTTTGAATGGTAGTGTATTTTGTGCAGCTATATTTACTATATTTATGAGCAACACAAAAATACAGAGCGAAGCATGTCCAGAACAAGTCAAGAGGAAGAACGTTTTTTATGCTTTTCCAGCAAGAATAACTGCACTTCCATGCTTATCATAAGATTTTGATCATGCCGTTCACTCCTAATATTAAAGATAGGTCATTTTGTCAAGCTCATTCCTATTTTGAATCTCTGTCACCGTGCCTGGAAGGCAGAAGCTGTGTTTCTAAGAGAGGAAACCCAGACGGATCCAAGGACAAATGAGGACGAACACAACCTGCCAATGTGCTGCCAAGCTATTTCCTGAAACGCCTGGTTTGGATTGTGTACATGAATTTCTGGCCCGTTTATTAGCAAGATATGAACTTAAAATGGAACGAGTTGTCTTTAAGGGGTATATTTAGAGCAAGCGATGACCTTACATTGATCTGTGTTGGCTTGGAAATGCTTGTAGGAATGTGTGTCGTTCTTGTTTAGTCAGAATGAGCTCAACTGGATTTCTGTTTCTGCCTCTTGTAGGGTTTCTTCCGCCGGACCATTCGCCTCAAACTGGAGTACGATAAATGTGAACGCCGCTGTAAGATCCAAAAGAAGAACCGAAACAAGTGCCAATACTGTCGCTTTCAGAAGTGCCTGTCAGTGGGCATGTCCCACAATGGTGAGTGTGGCAAACAAAAGCCCAATTCTGATGGTCATTTGATTGTTTGTCGTCTAATTTCAACATTTGCAGAGGCTAGTCTGTGATTTTACTGCCGTCCGAATCAAGCATTTTGGTGTTTTTCTCCCACCGTCTGCATAAAAATTCCTTTTCAAATGGTTTTTGACAAACATTAAGGCCGTGTGGTAATTTAATCGCACACATCTCTCAGTTTATGGGAATGGATCAATCCAAAAGTCGTTTCATAAATCACTGCCTACTGTACAATAACAGTTGAGCTTCATGATAATGTGCACATATTTTAAATATGGACACTTTTATTACTGAAATGCTGGAAACTGTTTACAAGAATAATATTTCGTCACAGCTTCACTGCAGCAAGTGGAAAAAAGAACAAAATCACGTGAAGTGGGACATTATCATTTTGCAATTTTTATGCAATTTTTTTTTTTTTTATTGTATTAATAATATTTATTATATAGAATTTTATATTAGGGTTTGCACAACTAATCAGTGTTATTGCAGTTACAGTGTTATTTTAGTATCATTGCGATACTATTATCATTTTATTAGTATTTGTAATTAATTTTATTTTTATATTTTCTGTTTTCACTTTAATTTGAGTAATTTTGTGTGCTTTTGTCATGTCTGTTAGTTGTTTTGTCTATATTTTTATTAAATGTATTTCATCTTTAGTTATTTAAGTACTTAAAGTGAAACTAATTGAAAATAAGAAATATAAACTGCTTTGACAAATAGCTGAAATAAGTTTAATTTTTTGTACATTTTATTTTATTTCAGTTAACACTTATTTAGTAGTGAAAATGTTTTTTATGGTTGTAGTTTTAGTTAATGACAGTAACCCTGACTAGTTGACCAAGTAGTTGAGTCATAAGTTTAGTTTATGTAAATAATAGTTTGCGCTAACTTATTCATGTAATTTCCACATTTTTAAAATGACATTTTGAGAGATAAAATGCAAAACGGAAAACCATTTAAACTATAAATACGATATTTAAATAAATAATAAATAAGATAGTATTTCCTACTATTAAATGTAATATGAACTTGTTATTATTTATCTAAGCAATAACAGAAATTGTGTTTACTGCTCCTCCACCATGAATTAAACGCCATCCGAATGCATGAGTGTTATCCATGCAATTTTATTTTTACAGACGTCCCCATGAGAAATTACCATTCAACTATAGGGCTAAATTCTTCAAGTGTTGTGGCAAGGTCCAAAATAAATACTGGCCATCTGAACATCTTTTTGAGGAATTGCAAAATAATGCATGGTTTAAATTTCAGTCATGTCTTGAAATATAGCGCATTAGTAGTGTGAACTACTTTTATGGTGTTTCGCCAGGTTTGTAGTTTGACAACACGTGGTCACCATTTGCTTATTAAATGGAAAAGCTCAATTCAGAGACTGAAAATATATTTACACCTCTATACAGATATATTTTGTGTTCCACTGAAGGTTTGGAACAGCACAAGATGAGTAAATGGTGACAAATTAATTTTGGGGTGAACCGTTCCTTTAAACGATCTTCCTTTAACGGACTTGATGTTGCGGTAACGTTCTGGATAATCTTTGACTAAATGATCTAACATGAGAGCGTTTGGTTGTTTTGTCCTTGAGATATCAGTGCATTGACTTCCTGCGATGACCTCTCCATTGCTTTCAGTCTGGAGTCAAAGGTCATCTTTTATGAGGCCCGCTAACACGTCCAGGCCTGCTGAACTGCTCATCTTTCACAGGCTTTGTGATCAGCGAAGGCATGTGCTGAAGTCGTGCTATGGTCGAAGTCCGTAATCCGAACCGTGGACTCTTGAAAACACACACCCCGACCCCATTCCTCACAGCGATGTGGGTTAGCTGCTCAAATGAGCATTTTACGGTGTCTTTGGTCCGTTGGATGGAAGTAGTCTCTGTAATATGTGTTGGAAAAGAGACTAAATAGAGTTCTAAATAAACAGATTAGTTCCATTCTTTTCTTTAGACTTGCTGTGAAAGTAAAAACCGGCGATCTTCGCCACTCCCTTCATCCTGTTGGATAAACCTCTTCTTTCCTTTTTTTTTTTTTTTAAGAAATTCATGCTTTTATTCAGCAAGGATGCATTAATTTGATCAAAAAAGTGACAGCAAAGTAATTTCTAATGTTACAAAAATGTATATTTCAACTAAATGTTGTTCTTTTGAACTTTGTATTTATCAAAGAATCCTGAAAAAAAGTATTATTTTCAATTCCAACGTTATTATCTTTTGATACAAGAAACAAATATAGGTGCACTAATTAATAATACAATTGATATATTTTCACTAATAAGGACAACACTATTATATTAAATTAATAAGTCATATTAACCCACTGTATCTCAAATAAAAGCCTACCTCAAAGCAATAATTGAACTGCTGTAGTATCTAATAATGTTGCTTAAGATATTTTTTTGTATATGGTTCAAATTCTTTTAGATGTCAGGCATCATATGCATTCAAAAAGCAAAAGTCTATTTCTATTTTTGCAGAGGACTAGCAACTATTCTAGTGGTAACTAGATTTTAATTTTTTTAAATATATATTTTACTCAAATACATTAATCAGCTGATGAGTCAAGAACAGTCTTTAACCAAACTTTGATGAAATGATACAAGATATTATTAAAAGAATAACTCAATGAGATCAAGTGGAGATAATATCCATTGCAACACATTGTTTAATGTGCAACACTAATAATTTTTAAATGTAGTTTTACATTTAAATATGTTCATTTTCTAACAGAAAAGTGTCAGCACAGACAAACATGGTTAACACAATGTTATAATTGCCCCCGATGTTGCAGCCATGATTAAACAGCCATGCCTAAATTATATTAGAACACAAAAAATAAATGCAGCCTTGGAGAACAGAAGAGACGTCTTTCTACCTTTTGACCTATTTTACACCTTGCACGCCCCAAAAATTGGCTTTTTTCCATTTTGCTTTGTTCTATGTGGGTTTTTGTGTTCATGTTCAACAAAATAACAGCAATCCTGTTGCTGGATATAACAATACATATAATACCTAGAGATTAGCATGCGTTTGTGTGTCATGCAATGGAGGTTTACAGGCAGGGACTGTAAGCTTATTAGCTGTTGGGGATTGTGGCGTCTGCATTAGGATTGCATTCATGTTTTAAAGATATCTGCATTTGCATGCACCATATATTACTGACATTTTAAATGTAGTTTTACATTTAAATATGCTCATTTTCTAACAGAAAAGTGTCAGCACAGACAAACATGGTTAACACAATGTTATAATTGCCCCCAATGTTGCAGCCATGATTAAACAGCCATGCCTATATTATATTAGAACACAAAAAATAAATGCAGCCTTGGAGAACAGAAGAGACGTCTTTCTACCTTTTGACCTATTTTACACCTTGCACGCCCCAAAAATGGGCTTTTTTCCATTTTGCTTTGTTCTATGTGGGTTTTTGTGTTCATGTTCAACAAAATAACAGCAATCCTGTTGCTGGATATAACAATACATATAATACCTAGAGATTAGCATGCGTTTGTGTGTCATGCAATGGAGGTTTACAGGCAGGGACTGTAAGCTTATTAGCTGTTGGGGATTGTGGCGTCTGCATTAGGATTGCATTCATGTTTTAAAGATATCTGCATTTGCATGCACCATATATTACTGACAGCAGAGACTGTATAAGTAAAGTTTTGCATGGACACCACAGGCTAAATCTAGTTTTATTCTGGTGCAGCTTCACACAATCAAGGTGCATGGAAGGAGAAATCAAATGTATTTTTAAAAACAAAACCAGCAACACTTGTGAAGTGGAGAAATCAAACTATTCAGAGAATGGAATTGAAAAAAGTTTGTTTTTAAATGAGTTTCTTTGTATTTGGAAGCCCTGATGAAGGCCTGTGTGCCGAAACACGTTGGCGAAATAAATCGATTTTTTTTTTTAAACTCTGAATAGTTTAATGTCTCCACTTCAAAACTTTTGCTGGTTTTGTTTTAAATAAATCGAGCTTCTGAAATGCTGAAACAATTTTCAACACCATAATGCCCACCGCTGCTCTGCATGGTTGTGGCGTCTGCATTAGGATTGCATTCATGTTTTAAAGATATCTGCATTTGCATGCACCATATATTACTGACAGCAGAGACTGTATAAGTAAAGTTTTGCATGGACACCACAGGCTAAATCTAGTTTCTGATATGTTGTATTTTTATTCTGGTGCAGCTTCACACAATCAAGGTGCATGGAAGGAGAAATCAAGTGTATTTTTAAAAACAAAACCAGCAACACTTGTGAAGTGGAGAAATCAAACTATTCAGAGAATGGAATTGAAAAAAGTTTGTTTTTAAATGAGTTTCTTTGTATTTGGAAGCCCTGATGAAGGCCTGTGTGCCGAAACACGTTGGCGAAATAAATCGATTTTTTTTTTAAAACTCTGAATAGTTTAATGTCTCCACTTCAAAACTTTTGCTGGTTTTGTTTTAAATAAATCGAGCTTCTGAAATGCTGAAACAATTTTCAACACCATAATGCCCACCGCTGCTCTGCATGTCCAATGACACCATGAAATTCATCTGAACACAGTCCAGATTTAAACTCGTGTTACTCAATTCCTCTGGGCAAGTTTCTAAGGCACCAGACATCCTGATCTGACAAAATGTGTAAATAGTGGCCTTGGATTTCATCAAATATTAATCATCCGGGATCAGCAGCACATGTGGTTGTTTTGCAAGAGCAGAGTGAAGGTTTACAGAAACAACTTACAGTCCACTTTTATGTTATCCACACCAACAATAGGGATATTAACTTTTAAGGCGAAGATGAACTTTTATGTGATTTGAACTCTTGGAAGGCTGTCAAGAACTAACCACAAATGATCACGTCAAATTTTATCCGCATATCACTGGAGAAACTTCACAAGAGGCAAGTCAGATACCGGTTTTGTTCCAAAATATAAAGAGCTTCCTACAGAGGCAGCATTATACGTAGGGCTGCCCCCGATTAAAGATTTTTTCTAGTCATTCATTAAAGCCATTAGTCGACTAATTGCATGTTTATATTAATTTAAAACTTAAATATAAACTTGGGGGGCCTTTGATGTAGACTATAGCCTATTCTGTGCTCAAGCACATAAGTATCTGCTCAACAGCACTTAAAAATGCTAGCGAGAAATGCTGGCATCGTCACATTTTTTAAATTTCAGTACCGACTGGTACCGAAGTCAGTATGTTTGACAACCCTAGTAATGACTATGAATGTGTTGGAAAAAATAGCAAGGACATATTTTATTTATTCATTAATAAAACAGTGTTTTGAAGGAGGTTAATGATGCTGACTCGCCATCTCCGTAGCACAGTAGACTCGCCTTTAGAGAGAAATGCACCTTTAATACGGATTACATAATCAAAGAGTATTTTAAAGTAGACATTTCAAGCTTTCTATAGATATATTTCTAACGTCTTTGAGGCGAGTAGCCAATGAGTTTCTGTTCGTTTTTGTGACGCTGTCCAGTGCTCAGAGACAGAGATGGCAGAAAGTGCATTCTGTTCGTTTTCTTTATTTTACAAAAGCACGTTTTGTTGATATGGTTAGTGCACACAAATAAAAGTAGACCCTTTACGGTTTCAAATGATGTATAAATCTTATCTGCTTGAGCAAAAATGATGGCATATTTTAAATTGTCTCCGTTGTTATCAGGAAAAAATTGTGCAGTAATCGCATCGGCGCCTCCATGTCATGCAGTAAGAGCGCAAACAACTTCAACACTTCACACAAACACTTGGATATGCACCTAATAGTGTACATTTATCTAAAGTTGATACTACTTGCTACACTTTCAAATGATAAGCCATATATGAAGTTGATGAATGACAGCTGAACATTTGGATATTCTGCCCAATATAAGTATATCGCGGCTGTGCGCGAGGTGGAATGGAACGCGAAAAGTGTAGAATAGACAGGCATTAAGCCTCTTCTCGTCAACTAACGTTTAGTCGACTATTGGGTGGGCAGTCTTACATGGGACGTACATTTGAGAGTTTTCTCTGAGTTGAGGTTCTTGTTTCTATCCCGCAAACAGCCATCCGCTTTGGGCGAATGCCACAGTCGGAGAAGCTGAGGTTGAAGGCGGAAATCCTAACGGGAGAACGAGAGATCGAGGACCCACAGCTGGCCGATCAGAAAACCCTGGCCAAGCAGATCTACGAGGCCTACCTGAAGAACTTCAACATGAACAAATCTAAAGCACGGACCATCCTAACAGGCAAGACGAGCACACCGGTAAGAGCATCCAGTCACGTGCATTATTCATTATAGCTAATGTGCATCTTTTTCTGGATCTTTTTTGTAATTCTAGCAACACCCTAGAAACAACTCATAACACCTTTGCAGCCACATAGAAATAACCTAGCAACCCTTCATAACACCTTAGCAATGCCCTAGCAACAACTCAGAACACCTTAGCAATGCCCTAGCAAACACTCAGAACACCTTTGCAGCCACATAGAAATAACCTAGCAACCTTTCATAACACCTTAGCAGCACCCTAGCAAACATTCAGAACACCTTAGCAATGCCCTAGCAAACACTCAGAACACCTTAGCAACGCCCTAGGAACAACCCCTGAACATCTTTGCAAACACATAACCAAGTAACCACCCAGAAAACCTAAGCAACGGCCTAGCAGCAACACAAAACACAGTAGAATCAAATAGTAATAATCTAGCAACAATTCAGAACACTTTAGTAGCACCCTAAGAACAAACCATAATACCTTCGCAACTATATAGCAATTACCTAGCAACCATTTGGTACGCATTAGCAACGCCCTAGTAACCAATAAGAACACCTTAGCAACAACCCATAACACCTTTGCAACCACATAGCTATGGCCTAGCAACCATTTGGTACGCTTTAGCAACGCCCTAGCAACCAATCAGAACACTTTAGCAACACCCTAGGAACAACCCAGAACACCTTTGCAACCACATAGCAGTGATCTAGCAACCATTCAGAACACCTTAGTAATGTCCTAGCAACCAATCAGAACACCTTAGCAAATCCCTAGGAACAACCCATAACACCTTTGGAACCACATAGCAATGACCTAGCAACCACTCAAAACAGCTTATCAACGCCCTAGCAACCACTTAGAACACCATAGCAACATCCTAGCAACAACCCCAAACATCTTTGGAACCACATAGCAATGACTTAGCAACCACACAGAACATAGTAATGACCTAGCAACTGTTCAAATCACCTTAGCAACGCCCTAGCAAATTGTAGTCCATTACTGATCGCAGATTACATGACAAATATTGTAGTTAGTAACGTAATCCATTACATTACACATTGTAGATAATATAATCAGACTACTTTTGACCTAACTCGCTAATCACATTGATTTTAATAGTATAATCTTGTACCATATTGATATAAAAATCTTTTTTATTTTTATTTAACAACATTAAGTGCATTAAACATTACATTACATCAAAGTTTCCCAAACTGGGGTTTGCGAAGGAACTGAAAAGCTAATATTAAATCATAAGATTTTATAATGAAAATAAATCATTTTAAAATAACAACAATCGAAATAAAACACTTACTAATAAAATATTTTGTTTACCTGCATGTCATGTGACCATTAACCAACGTCAAATAACTGTGAACCTGCAAATGTGTGCATCATGCAAAGTACATGTAAATAAGTAATAATGTTAATTACAAGTATTTTAAAATGTAATATAATCTAATTACAAGTACTTAATTGGAATCTGATTACATAATCCGGATTACATGTAGAGCCTGACCGATATATCGTTTTGCCGATATTATCGGCCGATATGAGCCTGTTGCCAATGTATCGGTATCGGCGAATATGCCGCCGATATGAAAATTTTTTTTACAGAACATATAAGGCAGATAAAATACTTGAAATGGTGTAATTACTTAGTTTGTCCAGTCCGCGCTCCATTGTTTGCTACTGGCGACCTGGATGAAACGCTTTTGAAGCTTAAGTCTATGGAAAACCTTTGAAACTTTGAACGGCCATATCTCCGTAACGGTGCGGCGAATCCGCACCAAATTCGGGGGATCCCTTCAGCTTGAGGAACCCTCTCGAACGTGAATTGAGTGTACGTCTAGAGGCCCGCTTTCGAATGAGACCACCCCCGCGTCGTTAGCCCCCAGGGTTCGGGAGTTACGGGTGGTTAAATTTGCGTTCCGGCGCCGACCGATCAAGCGATCCCGGGGGAAATGTGTGGACACACGAATGGGAAAGTGTCCAAACTTTTGACTGGTACTGTACTATAATATACACAAAGAATATCGACCGATATATCGATATCGGCCTTTTTTGTACTCCCTAATATCGGTATCGTATCGGCCCCAAAAACCCCATATCGGTCGGGCTCTAATTACATGTAATCTGTTACTGAACCTGCATCATCAGATTACACTTTTCTGTTTTCTCCACCATGTTCATGTCGCTCTAGACCTTCTTATAAAGCGCAAAGGCCATCAATAAAGCAGAACTCTTTATTAAATTAGCTTGATATGACACGGGGCTCATGGGACGTGGGTTTGGAGTTCATCCTGACTGGGTGTGGATGGCTTCCACCTCAGACGTGCTTCCCTCACGCATCTGTAACACTAGCTTGATTGTTGGCTGTGCTCTTGGGCCTGAGCTTCACAGGACACGGCCCAGCTGTTGTGAGTGAGAGCAGCTGAATTAAGACGAGGCTTTCATCTCTCACAGTGCTCTTGTTCTCTCACGGCCCGCAGACCAGCCTCTCGGGGTGTCGTGTTGACCTCTGTTATGGAGGCGGTGAGCGTTTCGAGTTTTAGCCCCGTTTGAAACAAATGCCGTCATCTGAACTGTTTCAGGTCGAGGGTTTTGTATTGTATCGTCCTGTGTGACACAATTAAATGTCTTTTGACATTCATGTTCAGAAAGTATTGAAACAGGAAGATGGGTCTGTTGCATATGCTTATACACATAATATAATAATAATAATAATCATTTATTTTATTACTATTACTCTTATTCAATTTTTATTTTGTTTTCTATTGTATTACTAATTTTTTATTGTGTGTGTACTTGAATACAGTCTTGAACTTATTAAATAATATATTAAAAAAGAAATATATATATATATATATATATATATATATATATATATATA